TTTTGTCTCCAACAATAGGGTTTATTTAGGGATGACAATTGACATACGCTAACAATTTACGACAATGACAATCGTGATTGTTGTAAAGTAAAGTATGCTCCCGTGGTCACCTTTGTTGTCCTATGGGAAAAAACGAAGTATTATTTACATTGCACTTGTTTTGATTTTGGATGTGGGTTTGAGGACACATTTGATTAAGTGATTACTGTTTCTATTAAGTAAATTAGTATTAACATATCCTAAATTTATAATTAAAAATCGGATGTAATCATAACATATTTATTAACTTCTTAAAAACTTTATTATTATTTAGGACTGTTTTCCATAGTATTAAGAGAAGTGCCAACAAGTGACGATAAACTTTTTAAAAATTAGATATTTTATTAATAATAAAAGTTTTTGACGCTTGGTTTCTGTTTAATAAACATTATTATTCCTGTTTAATAAACATTATCCATATTATCCATATTATCCATATATGCGTTTACACGGTTTTGGAATAAAGCAGTCAAATTGTGTTTTCAAAGTAATTTTTGGAGCTTATCACAAATCCCCATCAGGTTAGATTTAAAAAAAATGGATTAGCAAATTTTTACCAAACTGCAATAATTTATTTTTTGTATTAAAAAAATCGGACATGAACGTCAGTTCTGACGTTTGTATTATTTTGGTTCCCTTACATAAAAAGCCCCACAATAGTTAACACTGTTCGGCAGTTTTTAACTTTTTGTCACTCCTCGATATTCTTTGGCTTCTTTCTCTAAATTTTATTGTGCTAAATTTCAATCAGACCTTATACATTCAAACCCAAAAGTGGAAAAACCGTGTTTTGTTAAATCACGAAATATTGCTTTTTCAGAAAACTAGTTATGCTCTCTAAGAGTAACACTTTTCCTCTTTAAGTCCTTTTTGTAATTTTTTTAATATTTTTTACCTTTGAGTTTAAAAAAGAGTTATGATTAAAATGATCATTTGATTCGAATCAAATTTCGACTAAAGAAAGAAGGATATTAAAAAAATCAAAAAGGATTTTGAAGTGGAAAAGTAGTATTTTCAGATGGCTTAGCAATTTTTGTGAAGAAAAAATACCATGATGTAATATAACCTTTAAAAAGTAGTTTTTCCACTCTTGGGTTGGAATTTAAAAAAAACCGGATGTAATAGAAGTCGAATTCGAATTTATTTAGCACGTGGAAAACCTTTGGAAAAATATAGTCTGGTTTCTGTTTGAAAATGTTGTAGACTATAGTGCACTAAGGCCTTGCAAGGGAATGCTAATTACATTACATGTAATGTAATTAGCATTCCCTTGCAAGGCCTTATCCCCAAAATATTTTTAGCAGGTTGCTAACTGACTTTACCGTTTTTCCAGCATTTTACTAAGTTCTGATAATTTAAAATAAAATGTCGACTACGAAAAACAGTAAAGTCAATTAGAAATCTTTTAAAAATATACCTACCTATATTCCAGTATTTCCAAAATGTTGGTGATTCCAAACACTATTTAGTATCTCCAGTGCAAAACAGTGTGGGTGTGGGTTAATACTTTTGGGTTATAACCCAAAAGTTACTCCATCAGGTTAGGTTCTATAGAACCTAACCTGATGGAGTAAAACCGAGTACAGATTGAATTCAGCGCACCATAATAACTTAGGAAACAGCATTTGGTTAATCTGGTGTTATACTGCTAAATGAACCAGGAGTACATTTTTTTATATTAATTTTGAAATATTAAGTTTAAGGTTATCAAAGCCTAGGCTCCTCTTATTATTATTTTTTTAACATCTTCTGCCTTCAACCTTTGGGGATGAGTTGGTTGAATAAAATATTTAAGAAAAAAACCGTTGATAAGCAAGCCTGTTGGATATTTTAAAATGTTGGGCGTATGAAATGTTGTATTCAATATCTTTGGGGATGAGTTGAGCGTTGAACTCATACCCAAAGAAATTACAGTTGGAAGCAGAAGATGTGGATGCCTGATAATAAGAATCAGGCAAAAGTAGCACTTTCAGATGCCGTAACGAGTTTTGTGGAGAAGGTACCTTGGTGCAACGAAAATTCTTTTCCATGTGATGGAGAAATTTTCAGGTTCGCCGCGTTAAAAAAAACTAAAAAGTGCAAACCAATTTCTCTAAAAATGGGTTTCTACGGTATCTAAATACAATAGAAGGTATATATACCTACTTAAATATTTAAAACTGTATTAATAATGCATTTTTACCATAAAAATAACAGTTAAAAGTGATTTGTCTTTAATTACTAAAAATGTTATCGAACTGAACGGTTGGCAATCCCGGCCAGTATTTAAGCTTTTCATAATGATTCAGACTTTAATTCTATAGAATTAATTAATTAATTTCAGCTATAGCTAAAAAAAAGTTTTATCTTTATTTTAAATTTTTTACCCTAGATTGCAATTTGACTTGATGAGAGTTGGTATGAGATATTAATAAAAACGACATTAAAATTATTATTATTATTATTATTATTATTGTATTAGTTAATGTAAAATTAACTTAACAACAATAATATTTTCAAGTCCCAGTTAGTTCTAATATTATAATAGGTACATAAAATTTGTATACAACAGCGTAAATTTTGGTTAAAAGGGTTAAATATTATAAAGAAAACCAAATGAGTGAAAATAACTAAAATAATGTATTTATTTGGTGTGGTGCCCCGGGTACCAAAATCCATAAATATTCACACTCTCTCCACCAATACATATCATGCAAAGGCTAATTGAAGACAAACGTAAATACAAAGCACCTATCATAAAACATACGATAGAGATTCACCCCCTGCCACATCTAGTCATCTACCCGGCTCGACAAGGGAGGGGTTTATTTATGACGTAACGAGCCATTTGATTCCCACCCCTGCGATTGGCTGTCCTTCAACCCCTAGCTCCACCTATTGAAAGACTCCGCGTGAAAACATACTGAAAAACTTCACGGCACAGTCGATCATAAATGTGCTTACAACACAGCCAACTTGACAGATTGTTGGGTATTATTCTGACAGTTTGGTCATACGCTTTCGTCCAAAATTTATACGATTTATAATTTTATCTACGTAGTGAATTTGTGCTTTGCGGACAAATGTAAACAGTGACTGAAAGAAAGGCATGACTTAAAAATAAAAACTTAGTGGAATTGTGTTTATTTGATATAAGCTATGTTGGATATCAAACCTACAGCTGACTACCTAAGTAGGAGTTCTACATTCAGTAATTTTTCGATGTTATTTGCTGGTAAATATTAGTTTTGTATTTAAATAAGAGATACGAAAATGTAAATTTCTATATTTGAGCAGTAGACCTGCAAAATGCATTTTGACAAAAATTTTAGATTTTCCAACTATCTTTTAACCTTCTAGTACCTAGATACAGAATAGAAACTTAGCATTACTATGTAGTAGGTAAATTTTTTTCAGAATAGAGAAAGCCTTGTTTTATAATTTGTATTATCAAAATTGAAAGCTTTTTGTAATTATAACAAAGACAGTTTTTAAGTTTAAAAATATAAAAAATGTTAAGTTAAATTTAAAATCATGTATAATATTTTCTATAGGTATAGGTAAACTAAATTGCACTTTTATTTTAATTTTACCTATTTCTAGTACATTTTATTTTTTAAAGAGAATAAAAGTATATATACCTATAGCTACATTAACGTTAACCAAGAAAAAATTACTTATAAAATAATAATAATTTTTAAAATTTACCCTGTATAAGCACATCTATGGCACTCCTTATACTATTACAAAAACCCGTAGGCTTAATAAGCATTTCTTATTTAATAAACTTATCAACAACATGTGGTTTTTGAGAGCCTGATTACAAATTTGATATCCATTTTTTTTTAAATAAAATGGCTGATCCAATATGACGAAAATTCGTCGTTCGGCTTTAATGGTTTGGGTAAAATTTAGTATTCAGATATTTATGGGGTCCCTGATTCAGAATTTGATATCCATTAAAAAAAACAAAATTGCGGATTCAAAACGACGGACATGCGCAGTAGGTACAAGATGGTTGGATCTATGTGGAGTAGTTACATCATATATGCGCAGTAGTTTTCAGATGGATGGATCAAATGATTTGATCCATTAAAAACTACTGCGCCGATACCGGCTGTTTCTTTTAACTTGAGACAGCTCAATATCTCGAGAAATACGCATTTCACGGAAAAATAATATCCCCTTTGGTCACATTAACCTTTTATTTAAGACATTTTTCTGTGAAATTCGTATTTCACGAGATATTGAGCTGTCTCAAGTTAAAAGAAACACCTATTATTATAGGTGTATAATACTAGATGTATAATACTAGATGTAACTAGATCCAACCATTTGATTCAAATGCGCAACATTTTCGGCGTAAAAAGTCTTACTTTATTAGTGTGGTCTTGGCACACATTTTTTTTTATTTACAGTTTAAATTTCTATATAATAGTATATTTTTCAGACTATACTTTTTCTACGTTTCCAAAAAATACCATAAAAAAAATAATTTAATTGGAAGAAAGTGAGGTTGGATCGGTCTAAAGTTTGTTAGATATTAAAAACAGAGATGTCGCCACGAGTGTTTATTCTGTCATCCGATGATAGAATATTTCATTCTGTAACACTTTACGGAATATATGTCATTCCATAGATAAAAGTGATATTAGGAGTAGAAAAAAATATATAAACGAATTCGTATTTCATTCCAAATAATTTTTGTATTCATACTTAGGTACTTTTACCACGAGAGAAACGAGACGAGACGAGAGAAAGGCACTCTCGAGCGAGAAAAGAGTATTCTCGACGAGACGAGAGACCCATTTTCTCTCGCTGCACGAGACGAGACGAGAGAAGGACTTTTCTCGTCTCGTCTCGTCTCGCGGCATCACTAGTCCTAAATCATTAACATGAGTATCAAACCTAAAAAATTATGTTAATTGAAGTAACAGTTATATTATAATTTTAACTTATATTGATATTCCTTTTTTTTTCAGATACATCATACAAAGGATCGTGGAGTTCGCATGCATCATCTCAACCACAGGGTAAGTTATTTTTCTTTAAATAAATTATCTTTTAATTTTTATACTAGATTTTTGACGGTTTTACACCCGAGTCAAACCACGTCAAGTGGGACCAGAAAATTTCACGAAATCACCGATTTTGAAAATAATCACATTATTGTGTAGTAGGCATGACTCATATGTCACAGTAAAATAATTGTTTTAAAATTCGTTTTTTTGGTAATGTTATTAAGGTTGACAATTTTGTCAAACTTTAGAGCACGGTAAAATTAAAAAAATAGAATCTCTGGAACCACTATGTATAATTGAATTAAATTTTACACACTATTGTAGAAATGTTTAGACTATATAATAATCATTTAATTAAGGTAAATTTGTTTAAATAAAATAATTTTGCATACATTTATTATAAACAATTGAAATTTTGTATGTGTTCTTCACGCTGAAAAAAAATTAATCTTGTGTAATAATATGCGGCAAACGTTTCCGTTTAATAAGATGTACTCAAAAATTTGTCTTTCCTATGTCATTCCGGAGATATTAATTTTTTTGTCCCACTGTGCGCTTGATCAGTACGCGGCGCGCTTCGTTTCTAGCTCGTCCGTTCTAACGTTTTAACGGTGTGCCTGAATGAAGTTTAAGTCACATAAAAATGCCGCCAAAAACTGATTGTAGTTTCTTGTTCGGGACCCTTTGGTGACTTAAAAATGATATTTACCAATGTTCTAGCTGCTACTCTTTTCAAAATTGTTCGAAAATTCATGATTTTTTTTTAAATTTTTGTTTATCTCTTTGACAGAGTACACATTTGCACACCGATTTTTATAAAATTAGAGTAAATTATTTAGGAGACTAAGAGAATACTTTTTAATATTGTTCACATCATTTGATATATACAGGGTTAGCCAAAAATCACTTATTTTTAATAATGCAAAAGCGTAAATTCATGATTACTTATAGCATAACACGCGAAAAATATTTATCCCCAATTTTTTTTTTAGATATTTCTACGTCTATCAGGTTACAAAATTGCATTTTTATTAACATTTTACAAGAAAAATAGATTGGTAATAAAATTTAATAAAATAACGCTTAGAGAGTATTTAAAATGTTGTTTAATTTAGGCTTTTTAGTAGTTTTCAATTTTGAACGAAAAATTGGTTGAAGTTTTTTGATCGGCACTCTTTGGTGATTTAAAAAAGATATTTACCAAAATTCTAACTGTTTTTTGTTTAAATTTGTAAAAAATTAATTTTTTTTAAATTATTTGTTTATCGCAAAGTCTACCTTTGCCAGAGTACACATTTGTACACCGATATTGTAAACGAGAGAAACTGTTTTTATACTGAGCACATCATTAGATTTATACAGGGTTAGACAAAAATCACTTTTTTATATAGTAAAACGCATAATGCATAAAAAAGATTTTTCAAAATGTTTCGAAAAGGGGAGCAGCTAGGATTTTGGTAAATATTATTTTTAAGTCACCAAAGAGTCCCGAACAAGAAACTGCGGAATTTTTATGCGACTTAAACTTCGTTCAGGCACACCGTGTCCTGACGAGCTAGCAGCGAAGCGCGCCGCGTACTGATCAAGCGCACAGCGGGACAAAAAATTTAATATCTCCGGAATGACATATGAAGGACAAATTTTTGAGTACATTTTATTAAACGGGAACGTTTGCCGCATATTATGACACAAGATTAATTTTTTTTCAGCGTGAAGAACACATAAAATTTCAATTGTTTATAATAAATGTATGCAAAATTATTTTATTTAAACAAATTAACCTTAATTAAATGATCATTATATAGTCTAAACATTTCTACAATAGTGTGTAAAATTTAATACAATTATACATAGTGGTTCCAGAGATTCTATTTTTTCAATTTTACCGTGCTCTAAAGTTTGACAAAATTGTCAACCTTAATAACATTACCAAAAAAACGAATTTTAAAACGATTTTTTTACTGTGACATATGAGTCATGCCTACTACACAATAATGTGATTATTTTCAAAATCGGTGATTTCGTGAAATTTTCTGGTCCCACTTGACGTGGTTTGACTCACCCCTGTTTGTTTTAAAAATAAACTTGTCTTATCTGGATGAATTCAAGTCACATATTTACTTTATATTTCCGTTTCAGTAAGACCAAAATTTGTCCATCTTAAGCATCTGTGCAAGTTGCAGACTGCAACCTATGTGGCAAAATTTGGCATAATTCTTAATTAATACCTATGTAGTTCCATCAAGACATGGCTAAATGCTTTACAGCTGTTCAAACCAGGCCCGTGCTCACAAACCAATATTTAAATTGTTATAATAAATGTTATAATTTTAAAACCCTGGAATAAGCAGGATTTTCCACCATAAATAGATTTATATATACATAGATGTTCACAAAAAAATCGGTTTTGGTTAAAATTAAATAAAACCCGAATAATCAAAAACCGGTTAATCATAACCAAATAACCGAGACCGATAAAGCACGATTGAATTATTATTATTTTTATAAAAACCAAATATTAACCAAGATTTACACAAGTTGACTGAAAACGCTAGTACAAAATTTTTATGTAAAAAACAAAAATAAACTTAAACTAAAACTTAATACAAAACAAACTTAAAATAAAACTTATTCTTACCTGATAACAACTTTTATACTTATTTAGCCTAAGGATGTTATTTTTTTAGATTATTGTTAATGAAACCCAACATGTTCACTGTATTTTTCTTTAAACAGCTTCTTTGTATTTACTTACGTTTGTTTCCTATTCTGGCTTAATTTAGTTCCAATGTGAAGTGTCGACATTTTAGGTGATTCTACATATTAGATTTTTGCACAACAAACATATTTATATGTAATAATACCCAACTTTCCCCTTATTTCCTACATGAAGTTTGTTATCAGATTTCTTAAAATATTTCCAACAGTCACTAATTTTGTCAATTCTATCACAAAAAACTAATTACTTACTTACAATAAGAATGACACTAGACTGATATTTTATAGAATGCTTTTTATTATTTTAATCATAAACTATTTCTAAGGGCCAGCGGAATGTATATCTGGGGCAGGGCCACCCTAACCACAGGGCTACATGGGCTATAGCCCCGGGGCGCAACCTTTTGGGGGGGCAATTTTTATTGATGTTATATTTTCTTAATATTATATAAGTACTTTCATTCAAAATCTTTTCAAGAAAAAAATAAAAGAATAAACTGCTTTAAATGAAACAGAAAATATACATAATTAAATTAACTTTTTCTAGTTCTGACACTTTTGTATAACTTTTATAACCCTTCCCACTCATCTTATGAAGAAGAGCGCATTATTTTTAGTAGCCCACAGGCGCTGAATATCTTAAGACGGCCCTGATCTGGGGCATAGTTTGCCCGGCAAACCCCAACTAGGAGAAAATCTAGTTTAAACAATGTTGTAAAATAATCACAAAAATAATGAAAAAATATTATAAAAGTAAGGTAAAAAAACTACCAAGACGAAAACAAGGTTTTTTGGAATTTACTTAGATTTGACGTTTTACTCTAGTTACAGTTGCTGTCATGGGTTTGTTTATTGTATTCAGTTAAATGAAAACCGATTAACCGAAAACCTAATACCCAATTTTTCGTTTTCCAAAACCGGGGTTAATTGAATACCGAATAATAGGTTTTTCGGGTTGGCCAAAACTGCTACTCCAGTATACTGTTTTGATTGTTGAACAGCCTGTATACAAGTCTATTCCAGACTTTGACCACAACTTTTATTGAACCTTTTGACTACAGAGGTCCTCAAAATGTATAAACTGCAGTTCGACCAAATTCGACCTCAACATTGCTCCATTACCTAATTTTTTGAAATATTCTAATTCAAAAGTGAAAAAAACACTTTTTTCTTAGAAATTATAGGTCTGACGTTGACGTTGGTCGTTGCAGTTAGCGTAAAAAATATACATGTGATTCGAACTCAAGAGGGGGAATTGACAGAACCTGCATACTAAATTGCACAATTTGTGTTTTTTTTCGCCACTAGCGGCGCTGATTTCATTTAGGTGCTGACGTCTCCTGTTTTGGTACTGCTTAAACAAACACCATCGCCCTCCTATTATGGTAAACCATGAAGTTTTTACTCCTTGTAAGTTTGATACCGCAACGTCATCAGCCATGCATTGCCCACCTTTGTGGAGCGATCACGTTGCGGTATCAAACTTACAGCGTTCGAACTCGACCATGTCATTTATAGTTTGACGTTGGCTTGACGTTAAGTTTGACGTTCGAGTTGACCACCCTTAAACTTTGCCGTTCGGATTGCGAACGGGAGCCAATCAAGACGCATGCGCAATACAACAATATAAAATAATCATTTGTTTTATTCTGTGATGTGGGTTTGAAAAAAGTAGTTGTACAAATTTTTTTGCGCCACACTCACGTGAATTTGAGACATTACAAAGTCAAAAAAAAAATAAACTAATTAAGGTATTCTTACACTTGTTTAATAATAAAAATATTGTTCCATTAGTGGAATAATAAAAAAAAACAATTGTTAACAATAAATTACAGACCTCTATTGTTTACATACAGAAAACACGTACTTACATACATATGATTTTAAACATTGTTTACATATTTAGAATTAAATTTTAAAAGCAAATATTCCCAAACATATATGTTATAGAAAACCATTTTAGAGAACTCCACCCAAAAATCAAGTTGACAGTATCAACAATAATTGTATTAAAATCATTTCTACAAAAGTGTTAATTTGTTTGAATTTTAGATTTTATTTTGGGACAAAATAATATTCCATACTTGTAAAATATCATCGATTTTTTCAATTCTTTTAAACGAATGCTCGTTCATAATCGACCCTTTTTTCCACTCGTTTCGCAATACACTATTTATTAAATTTATTAAATGGTCTTTAACCTTTTATAAATTGGTAAACGTTTTAAGAAAAATGTTAAAAAGTTATTTTTATTAAAGAATCTTATTTTTCTACAAGGTAATGTGTTCTTTTTA